AGTTTTATGTATAGAGGATTTTTTTTTTTCTTTTGGCTACCAAATATCTTTACCTTATGGCAGAGTCCTATTCTCTACAGAAGCTGAAAATGACAAATAGGTTTTGTAGACCTCCTTGCAGCTGGACCATTTGAATATGATGGAGGTTAGGTGTATTAAAAATACCAGTGCTTAACAGACTTCACAGAGAGACCTTAAAAAGAAAAGATCGAAGAAAATGTTTTGGTGGCACAATGGAGCAGTGCTAGTACAAACTGTGGTGTCTGATCTTCAGTGTTTGTAGAAGCAGGATCCTTTCTGGGATGGTCTGTCATTTGATTATGACTGTGCCTAATAGTTGTCTCTCTTTTCTAAGCCAAGTTCCATGACCTTCCTACAAATTCTTAAGAGTGTCCAATATATTTTTTAATAAGCTCCTTTCATAGTTAAAGTACTCCCTTGCTACATATACTTAATCTTTATATAAAAATTTGTACTGGGGCTGGGGTTGTAGCTCAGCAGTAAAGTGCTTGCCTAGCACAGGAGAGGCCCTAAGTTCGATCCTCAGCACCACATAAAATAAGTAAATAAAATAAAAGACACTGTGTCCAACTATACCTTAAAAAAAAAAAAAAAATTCTACTAAAGCAGTTGCAAACCAAGGTCACCTATCACGATGTCTACTGAACTACTAAACAAATGTACAATTTCATTTTATCTAGTTTTTATTTTTCAAATGTTTACTTTTTTTGATGTATACCATACCAATGTTATTTATTTTGCCACATTAGGGATCCAACCAAGGGCTTTAAGCATAGTAGGCAAGTGCTCAATGACTAAGCTACACCCTTGACCTTATTTTTTTGAATAACATTTAAATGTCTTTTTTAGCTATTCCATGGACTTCTCACTAACACCACAGATTTAAGTATCTCATATTGTTATTTACTGTATCACCCCTGGGATAATGTACCAATCCTGTGCAGAACTGGAAAATGGAGACAGAAGTATTTGTTAAGGTAATCAATTTAAAAATGCCATTTTATGTTACTGTAACAAAATACCTGAGGCTGAGTAACTTTTAAAGAAAAGGTTTATTTGATTCACATTCTGGTGGTTGGAAAGTTCAGATATCATGGCAATGGCATGTGACCAAAAAAGCCCCAGCTGCATCACAACACTGTGAAATAGAAAGGGGCCCAGCAAGTGGGTTGGTCTTGCTACAACCCAGTCTTATAAGAACTACATTTAAAATTCCTTTCCAAGGCAATGCCCCCATGACCTAATCACCTTTCACTAGGCCCCACCTCTTAAAAGGTTTCACCACTTAACACTGCCACATTAAGGATCTAAATTCCTGAATATGAATCTTTCAGGGACAAACCACACCCAACCATATCATGTCTTTTTGGGCAGCTGGATAAATATGAATATAAAATAAACATTAGCTAATATTATATCTGGAGGTAATATATCTGGGGATGTAATTTAGTTGAAGAGCACATGCTTAGCACCAGAGAATCTGGGTTCAATTTCCAGCAACACACAAATATTGTACTAATGTAATCTCCTTAAGGTGAAGAATTATACTGTGATTATGTAACAGAATGTCCTCATGCTTAGGAAATAAAGTATTTAAACACAAAGTGTCATGATGTCTGCAATTAATTCAAATGTTTCTGCAAAAATACCCCCCAAACAAAAACAAAACCCCCCATAAATGGTTAAATATCAAAATTGCTAATTCCACCTGAAAGGCATGTTAAGTCTTCAATGTACAATTTGTGTTACTTTTCTGTAGGTTTTTTAATTTCTCAAAATAAATAATACCTGAGAAGTAGAACCAATAGAAAAAGTCATCACTGCTACTAGTGACCACATGACAGCTCTGCCAGGGATAGAATTTCATATTATCTTAGTACACATTGTTGAAGTTGGTAACTAAGTTGAATAGTTACAAAACTGGAATCCAAGAACACTTAAAATATTCATTTTTTATTAATACAAGCTCTAGACAATTAACCTACAAAGAAAATGTACAAAGCAGAATGGGTTTGTTTCTAGCCACAATCATTAAAATGGAGAATTTAATAAAGAAATCCCCGTGAAAATGAGTAAAAAAGCATGGATAAGTAAGTTTTAACTTCATGATAAATTCCATAAGAGTACAGATTTTAAAAATTCAGACTGGATATATACTATATAGAACACTGACTGGAACATTGCTATGTACTCTATAAATATTTGCTGAATAACTATACTCTCTAGATGACTTCAGAACATTTGCAATTTGCTACAAAATTATTTTGCCCGAGTTACTAAATTAACAGGGGAAACAATTATTTTCTAATTAAGAACCTGTAGATGGGCTGGGGATGTGGCTCAAGCAGCAACGCACTCGCTTGGTATGCGTGGGGCGCTGGGTTCGAACCTCAGCACCACATAAAAATAAAATGTTGTGTTCACCGAAAACTAAAAAATATTAAAAAAAATTTCTCTCTAAAAAAGCCCAAACAAACCTGTAATGTGTGTATATACACCACGTCAGCATCCTAACCTATTATTAAACAATTATGTACACTTCACAAAGGATAGTCTTTACACATTGCAGAAGCTATCTTATTTATTAGCTAGTAATTCTTTCAGTTGGTTTGTGTGGCCATACACATAAACCAGATTGAACAAATGTATCTAATATTAAAATTGAAGACATCTTAAGGGATATCCATGCTCTCAAAATGGCATTCATTTTTACTTATGTAGCAAACATTTTAGATTGATTGATATACACTTCTAAATAAATCCACTTACTGTTGGTGTCATTCTCACATAACACATCCAATCCACTGATAATCTCTGCCGCTAGATTTTCAAGACATATCCAAAATCCTTCTACTTTTCATCACTTCTACTAGCACTACTTTTTAAGTCACCATTTGGTCACTCAACTGAACTATACTAGTCTACTTGACTCTGCCCTTTCAATGGTTAAAACAGATTATATCACTCCCCTGCTTAAAATCCTCTTATTGCCTCCCTTATCACTCTTTTTTTCCAAGACATAGCCCTCACAGGGCCCTACATGATCTGTTCTCTTCTACCTCCCCTAATAACCCCTTCTCCCCTCACATCATTCTAACCACATTTCCTAATTCTCTCCTATCTCTTCAGTCTCTGCAACAAGCATGCCTCACCATGGGCCACCAGCTCTTTCTGCAGTGCCCCTTCCTCAGATATATGCATAGTTCTCCCTCACCTTCTTCAGTTCTCCCCTCACGGTGACTTTTCCTACTGTTCTCTATAATTTCCACTCTATCTTCCCTATCTTGCATTATTTTTCTCTATAGAACTTAATTACTACCTAACAATTATTTATGTAAGTTCTAAAAAGATCTATGTGTTTCCAGTTCCTAGAACAGTGATAGCCACGAGTTACATTCTCAAATATTACTGATATGTTTGTAGCACATTGTCAATTTTTTTTTTTTTTTGTCTGAACCACATCCCCAGCCCTTCTAGTTTTTTGAGACAGGGTCTTGCTAAATTACTGAGGTTGACCTCAAACTTGGAATCCTCCTGCCTTGACCTCCTGAGTTGCTGGGATTACAAGGATGCATGGCCATTCTTCAGAAACAATGTATTATCCAATAACTAAAAGTCTCATTTTAGTCAAACTTTCCTTCAGTCTCACCTTACTAGTTAAGAATGAATAAGCCAACTGAACTCAACAAAAAAGAGTTGCTATTTCCTTCTACAAAAGTGTTTGGAGAAGAGTGGGGTAGAAATAAGAAAGATGCATGGGGTGATGGAAAGACAAGGCCCTCATTAGTAATAATTAGACAGCAATTATTTAGCTGAGGGATTTTAAAGAGACCTACATTATTAACAATGTCAAAGCCACACAGTAACTGTACAGCTATATCAAAATGCATTTGAGAGTAAATCACTCAGAGGACATTAAAGTGCCTGGATCTAAAGGAATTAACACCAGCAATGTTTTTCTAGTTTAGTGTGCCGCTTTTATTTTACAAATTTAAAGTTTTCAAAGTGACCAAGGCCAATTCAGATTCACTATACACATATTTTTATTTTTCATTATGGACAATTTCAAATTTACACATAAGAATAATAGTATGTAAATATAACCCATCCACTCACTACAAATGTCTGAATTACTAATTACTTTGAACACTCCTCAAAATAGTCTTGCAGGAAAATCTTTAAGAATGTTTTTCTTACAATGTGTTTCCAAAGTACTGCTGACAGAAAGATATATACTGGCAATGTCAAATTTAACACGGTGATGCTGACCACTGAGATGTGGCAAGTGGATACTTCCTCTAAGCCACTTAGGAACACAGGTTGTATTAGAATTCAGACTATTTTATTCTCAAATGAGTAAAATCTTGATTCTCTTCTTGAACTGTACCACATTTTAAAACAAATCTATTAATCACTTACCATGGACCAGATGCTGTGCCAAGAACATATTAAAAGCCCCTGACATAATATTATAAGTTCCAGAGTCATGAAAGCAAACATTAAAAGTAAGAATACTGCTGGGAAAACTTAGGAATTAGTACCTACCCATATTTAACCAAGATTGGTGTAACTGGAAAAATGAGAGATTTTGGCTGAGGGAGACAGAAGCAAGTGAGAAGATAATAGGACTACTTCGAGCAAAAAAAAAATTCTTAAATGGGGTGTTCTAATGAGAGGTTCAAGGCAAAATCAGTCATTAGTGTAATGGTTAAGAGCTGAAGACAGTCGAATTGCAGGATGAGGAATAAAAAGGTATATGATCTTGGGTGAGTTAATTAGACTCTAATTTTGCTTTTTCTGGCTACAAAATGGAATAAATTATTTTAATGTTCAGATGAGTATTAAAAGAGCATTTAAAGCACTTAGCACAGAGCCTGGCACATACTAAGCATTCAATGACTCTCTGTGAATTAATAAAACTCTATTATTTCTCCTGCAATGATTAGTCCCCTGTCCCCAGTCTAGTACTATTTAACTACCTTCTTTTGTAGACTGGCCTGAGAATGCTGAAGTTGTCTTCATTATTTGATATTCCCAAATCAATGTACTAAAAAGGTTAAGTTCCCATATATTCCTGGCAGTTTCTGAAATTAAAACATTTCAAAATAATGTAAGAATCTTAAATGTAAAGGCATTATAAAATATGAGCAGTGCTTAACCCAATATGTGGCTATCATGCTTCTAGCTAAGATGTAAGAGGAAAAAAAGTCTAGTATGTTTTTAGGGAGTGTTCTTCTGTAGATACAAACTTTCCAAAAGCAAAGTCCATTCCCTAATTGCTGCATCCTTATAAAAAGATACACATAAACTAGCAGAATATTTAATCTATTAAGAAAATAAGTCTGGGGATTTAGCTGAGTAGTAGAGCATTTGCCTAGTATGTGCAAGGTTCTGGGTACAATCCTGAGCACTGCAAAAAAATAAAATAAAATAAATAAAAAATAAAAAGTTTTAAAAAGAAATGTAAAATGTAACAACATTTCCCATATATATTAGAAATATCAATTTAGAATTCAAAAAAATTTTTGGTGAAAAAAACTACACTCTAGTTCAGAACTTTAATATCTAGAGTTGTGAAAAGAAACCTAAAATTGTATTTTTAATGCATTGAGCTCTCAAACTGCCAGTATCCAACAGTAAAACAAAAAGCCACGCCAGGAACTCACTGAAAAGTTAACTATGTGAGATGATAAATATGTTAAGTCGGCTTTACTGGGGCAACCAATTTGCTCTGTGTATTTCATATTAAACATTATGTTGTAAACCTCAAATTCACACAATAAAGTAAAAATCCAAAACACATCTCATTGAGCTTTTCCTTTTTTTCCCCCCCTGGAGAAATGCAACAAAGGCAGGATCGCTCATCCAATTAATATTCTGAAAACAAAGAATGCGGGGGGGGGGGGGGAAACTACACGACAAAGAAAATATCCCCAGCTCGGATCACTTAATACTAAAAACTTCTTGCCTAAATACGTTATATAATCAACTGTTGCTTCATAAAAACTGCCTGCTTGATCGGCAACATGTCAATCACCAGAGTAGCAAGCGATTATAAAGATGTATTAAATCCACTTCCCCTCAGTAGATATATTCCTCCGGGTGAGATTTCCATTTTTTTTTTTTTAAAGCAGTTTCAAAATCCTTGGGTGGTCCGGTTAGGCTTTTTGGTCGAGGGTCGGGGGTGCTATAGAAGAAAAGCCAAAGAGAGGTTAAAGAAAGATATTTGGCTTTTTTCCAGTTGGCAACTGCGAGAATAAAGTTTACCTCAGCCTCAAGATGGGGGGGAAAAATTCCTACCAACGAGAAGAAAACGAAAGGAAGAGTTTCAGGAGAAAAATAAAATGTAAAGGGAAGTCTGAAAAGATATAAAGAGGTTAATTACAAGGGGGGGGGCGGGGGAAAAAAAAGAGAGAAGAAAGCAAGCATGGGACTACAGGAGGGTCCGCCGAGTTCTAAAGAGAGGTTTGAATGAAAAAGTCTTTTCTCCAGGTCTAAGGACCCCAGAGGGCGGGCGGCGAGGCCAAAGGCCGCGCGCTGGTGCAGTTAAGGCGAAGGGATTAATTCTGAGGGTCGACCCCCAGTCCCTCCACTTCGTCCTCTCACAGCCCGAGTCTTGGCTCTAAACATCCAGGTGTGTGCTAAGGAGAGAGGAACCACGATATCGCGGCGTCCACGGAGACAATAGGCTGGGGAGCGACGCAGGGCCGAGGCCTCCCTCCGGGACGACCACCATCCCGCCTCCCTCATCGTTGCTCCAGACTCACAGAGTCTTGGGCATCTCGTCCTCCATGGCTGCTGCTGTCGCGGCGGCGCCTCTGGGTCCAGCTCCCTGCCCTTCACTACTTCCCAAATCGTATGAACGGCTATGGCTGCGGGATGGCGGGGTTTCTCGGCTGAGCGGAGGTTACTTCGCCGTCTTCTTCCGCGGTAATTACGCCGATATGCCCCGCACAGCGCGAACAATGAAGCCCCGATTCAAGATGGCGGCGAGCCGGGCGCCTAGGAGCAGCCAGCGAAGTGACCCAGACCGCGCAGGCGCAGAATAACCCTGCACTCTCACCCTCGCGGCGCGGGGCTACACCTCAATCCGTAGGTTCACTTGTTGCGCAGCCGCTCTTTCACCCGACTCGTGATGGCTCGGATTGCGCAGGCGCACAGCTTAACTATTTCAAAACTTTCGTAAACTGTCGGTGAGCTCCAGATCCGAATGTTTCATCGGTGAATTATAATGAAATGGAGATCTTCAGGGTAATTAAAAATTCTAAGTATTTTCACTACAGGAAAGATTTATGAAGATTCTTTTAAGACATTTTTGAGCAAAAGAAGTGCCTGCGCCGCCCGGGAATCGAACCCGGGTCGCAAGAATGGGAATCTTGCATGATACCACTACACCAGCGGCGCTGTTGATGAAAGCACTCGCCAGAGTCTCCTAGGTGAAAAATGCAAGCACACATTCCCATTCAAAGATGCACAATTGTTATTTTAATTTGAAAATAAAAGTGTACTGATGGTTTGATAGTTCATATCTGCTATTTTTTTCATTGCTATGAGAAACGAATTATCTTATTGCAGTTCAGTTGGATGGATGTTTCTACTTTTTCTATACAGAAAAAATATTCAATTTTAATTTTTTTTTACTTAAAAACGTAAGTGTTTCAGTAAGAAGAATTTGCCTTGTTGGTGCTAACCAATTATTTGAGACTTGAAAAAATATTTTCAGACGCTTTATTTTTTATTTTGCCTTTCCGTGGTGTATTCAATGTACATTGAAAAGCATTTAAGAAGTGGTTTCTGTAGCAAATTGGTCACAAGAATCATAAGGTAAGTGAATCAGAAGATACATAAATTTAAGTACTCTTTTAGAAGGAAGGAAAATTAGGGCTCTAAAAGTGATTCAGTGCATTCGTTATGCATTTCATAATGAATTTTATAAGTTATATGAAATATTTTATAAACATAGGAGAATTTACACATCCAAAAACTAGATCCTCTTCAAAATAGTTCTTTTAGAACTATGATACATTTCTGATTTCCATTTTTGGAATTGCCTTGAGAGTCCCTGATGCATTCTTCAGATTATATTAAAAGATACCAAGATTTATTTCTTGAGGATGAGGCAGATGTTATAGTGGACAGTATTTTTAAACACATTTTTGAGACACCCATTTAAAGTAGTCTTTTTAGTTTATTCATAGAGATGTTTAACCATTTCTACAATCATTTTTAGAACATTTTCATTCTTCCAAATGAAACTTTTTCCAATTAACAATCACTTCTGGATCTACCTATTCTGGGCATTTCATAGAAATGGAATTGCACACTATGTGTTCCCTTGAAACTGGTTTCTTTCACTTAGTATTATGCTTTCAGGGTTCATATATATTGTATCTATCAGTTTCCTCTTTGGCACCTTTCCTTTTTTTTTTTTTTCCTCCCCAAATATTTTGAACTGTTTTTGTTTGTATTATTATATATATATTTTTTTACAGTGCTGGGGATTGAATCCAGGGCCTTGCACTGAGCTATATCCCAAGTCCCTTTGCAATGTTCTTTTAGTACTGTAGATTTTTTGCTTGTTTTGGAACTTGGAATTGAACTCAGGGGCACTCAAACACTGAACCACATCCCCAACTCTTTTTTTTTTTTTTGTATTTTATTTAGAGAGAGGGTCTCACTGAGTTGTTTAGGGCTTCACTAAATTTCTGAGGCTGGCTTTGAACTCATGATTCTCCTGTCTCAGCCTCCCAAAGTGCTGGGATTACAGGTGTGCACCACTGTACCAGGCTAATACAGTCATTTTTTAAAATGTTATAAAAGTACTACTTGTTATAAAAGTTATAAAAGTACTACTTGTTCACCATCACAAATGAAATAATATAGATATTATAAAGAAAAGATTAAAAATTTCCTTATTCTTCCCTCTTTAAGAACTAATATTCACAAATTAGTCTGTAAGCTTCTACATCTTTCTCTATATGTATCCAGATACACATATATGTAAGTACTTAGGATTTTTAGTTATTTCAAAATACATGGTATATACTTTGTAACTTTTTTCACTTAAGCTTACATCATAGTATTATCCAGTTTGATGAATACAGATTTTTTTGTATGTGCATACAAGGACTGGAATCTAGGACCTTGGGCATATTAAACATACTACCATTGAGTTATACTCCCAGTCCCAACTTTAGTTGTGGCAAAATAGTCCGTAGAATGAATGTGCACAACTTATTCAAAGGTAAATTGAATAAATTACCATAATTGGTGTTGATAGACCTTCAAGTTACTCTACCTTTTTTCTATTACAAATGGTGTTGCAATCCTGGTTCATATATCCTTATAAATTGATTCTTTTATTTCTGTAGGATAGATTCCCAAACATGAGATTGCAGAATTAATATATATTAATGTATATATAATTTAGATAAAGGTTACAATCATTCACATTTCTACCAACAATAATTGAAAGTCCCTGAGTCCTTCACCAAACTTGCTCCATTTTCTTCTGCATTAAGATGTTATTAGGGCTGGGGATGTGGCTTAAGCGGTAGTGTGCTTGCCTGGCATGCATGCGGCCCGGGTTTGATCCTCAGCACCACATACAAAGATGTTGTGTCCGCCGAAAACTAAAAAAAAAAAAAAATTAAAATTCTCTCTCTCTCTCTTTAAAAAAAAAAAAGATGTTATTATTCTTACTAATTTTTTCCAATATGTTAGATAAAAAATGGCATCTCCTTGTTTTAGCTTGCATTTGCCTAAAGGGTTGAGCATCTTTTTTTTTTTTTTTTTTAATATTTGTTTTTTAGTTGTAGTTGGACACAATACCTTTATTTTATGTGTTTTTTTATGTGGTGCTGAGGATCAAACCCAGAGCCTCACATGTGCTAGGCAAGTGCTCCACTACTGAGCCACAACCCCAGCCCTTGAGCATCTTTTTCTTTCTCCTTCCTTCCTTCCTTCCTTCCTTCCTTCCTTCCTTCCTTCCTTTCTTTTCTTTCTTTCTCTATATTTTTACCATTGACAGTTACTCTTTTATGAGTTGCCTATTCATATACTTAGTCTATATTTATGAAGTTGTTTACCTTTTCTTATCACTTTATAGAGCTGTTTATATGCTTATAATATTGACCACAATCCTTTTCTTACTACTTCTTACCTTTTTTTTTCCCTCTGGGGCTGGGGGGGGGGGAAGCAATCTTTAATTAGCATCCTCATTTGGCTGTTAAACTTTGCCAAAAATCTACTTAGTTATTTATTTACTTATTTTGGTACCAGGATTGAGCTCTGGGGCACTTGACTACTGAGGCATATCCCCAGCCCTATCTTGTATTTTTATTAGAGTCAGGTTCTTACTGAGTTGCTTGGCACCTTGCTTTTGCTGAGGCTGGCTTTGAACTCAGGATCCTCCTGCCTCAGCCTCCCAAGCCACTGGGATTATATGCAGCAGTCTGGCTGGGCACAATTCAGGAGCCACTTGTCAAAAGAAACGAACTTTATTTTTAGAAAACACACACCAAACCACACAGCTCCTCAGGAAAAACCTTCAGAGCCCAACTGCCACCACCGCCTTCCCACAAACCTCTCAACCTCCCCCACTCCTCCTGCTCTAGAGGCTGATTGGCTGGGTCTCGGTGGCAGAGCCAAAAAAAGTCCCCCAATGAGCAGCTCCATGGTCTGAAAGGGCGGGGAAACAGCCCAATGAGCATCACTGCAGAGGAGCCAATCAGTTGGCAGCTAGAAGTTTGCTGGGGCCACTGTGAGCCAATCATCAGCTGGCAGCTGGAAATTTGCTGGTAGCTGGAAGTTTGCTGGGGCCCCTTGGGCTGTGGCTCTCAACAATTATAGACATGCGCCACTGCGCCTAGCTC